CTCTACATTATAAAATTTCTTCACGAACTTATGCTATCACGTAATACAGCAAAAGCCCCCGTAACACGGAAAATACACCACAAATTAAGTTTCATCGCTTTTTGGGCCAAATCTAATCAACCCAAAACTCCAAATTTGCATATTCTTTCTCCTCGTCACGTTATACACTACGTCCTACTGTACTTTCCATACCACCACAAAAAGTAACACCTACGAACGAGAGGAGTGCAAGTTCCGAATCTACCTCGAATTACCAAAAAACCATATCTCCCAAAACTACACGATTGATTGATCCCGAACGAGATTAAGAACGCAAAAGAAACCGGTGGACATCGATCGAACCGAAAGCTCGAGCCATTACTCTGTCGATTTCCCCGTTTCGTGCCTGCACACGCGGCACGCGAACAGTATACGGCACCATCGAGCGTCGCCGTCGTCTACGTCTACGTCGTGGTCGTCGTCCCGGGGACGACGTCCCGCCGTAATCACCGGCCGGAAGCTAACAAATGGTTAGTAGCTAGCACCTGGCCACGCACTGTTTAGTAATGTAGGCAGTGTACTGACCGAAGACCGAGTCGTTGTCGAGCAATGTACGATTCAGCTCCGTCATCTCGGTGCCGTGCGATGTCACAGAAGGCGCCTCGTACCGTCTCGGCGGTTTCACCACAGGATTTATCGCGGTGATCAGCGACTTCTCCTGTTCACCGAGGCCGTGGTGTTCCATCGTGGCCGCTTCGAGGCTCTTCTCGTCGTGTCTGGTACGCCGGCGACGACAGTAGCACACGCAAAGTGTCGCCGCGAAGATCGTGACCAGCAACGCCGACAATCCGAGAAGCAGAACGATTTGCAGCGGGAACATGTTGTCGTTACCGCCTATAACGTCACCGGCGATCACCAGCGTCACGTTTTTCTCCGTGTTACCACCTGGACTCTTCGCCACGCAGACGTAATCACCCTTGTCCGACGGTGTTGCGTCCGGTATTGTGAGATTGAGCCAGTCGTGGCTCAATCTCAGCACGTAATTCTTCTCGCCGTTGTGCCGTCTGGTGTGGTTGTTCAAAATTCTCGAACGGTGCACCCAGTATAGCTGAAACGGAAGAACACAAATTTAGGTTAGCTTGTTTTTTTCCTCTCTTTTCCTTTTTTTTTTTTTTTTTTTTTTTGAATCGCGGTTACAGAGGCAAGGTTCGCCAAGACGGCAAGGTGCACGCACGAGAGAGAAAACTCTGAGGGTGTTCTTAATTTTCAGTTTTCATGCCGCGGAAAATCCGAAAGGGCTTCGTTATCGTACGCAAAGGCTCGCCTAACTACGCCCACCTTTTGTACCGCGTGATTTCAAAAGACGCCTCTTTCGGCCGCTCACCGACCCTTTCTACCTCGCCGCGTGTCATTCTCCGCGGAGTCAAAGGATTTTTTCATCGAATCTGCTGAATTTCGTGACACGGTTTCGAGATTCAAGAAGATACGCTAATTATCGAGGGTCGTTGTATCGCGAGAAAAGCGATTTGCGCGATCTTACCTTTTCCGACAGAGGATCTAGCGAAGTATCGAAACACAATTATTTATTTTTCAAGCTGAAGATCGAGGGAGCAATTTGCACGCCAAGAATTGTACCGCGAAAGAACGTACCCTTAATTCTTTATCTGAAGTTTCTTTTCTTTAAATAAACTGAATAGCAAGTTGCGCTTTGACTTCGAACAACAATGCCATATAGAAACTGTCGTATTTTCCAAGCTGAAGATCGAGGGAGCAATTTGCACGCCAAGAATTGTACCGCGAAAGAACGTACCCTTAATTCTTTATCTGAATTTTCTTTTCTTTAAATAAACTGAATAGCAAGTTGCGCTTTGACTTCGAACAACAATGCCATATACGCACGTTTCACTCTTATTTTCGAACAAAACGACATTTGTTCGACGAAATTCTTCTCGTGTACTCTCCTAAACTATTCAATCCCCCAACAGTTGCTACCTCTGTACTGGAAACGAACGTTCGTTGTTCGGTAGCCGAGTACTCCGTAGGCGATTACAATTAAGAGAAAAGAAACGCGCGTTTACAGCGGATAAACTTTAAAGAATCTCTCTGTTCCGGCCCACCGAAATCAGAGAACAATGTTCAGGCCGAGATACGTTTAGAAGCTTTCAGGGTAAGTTGCCTAGAATGCGGATTTAACCGGCGCGCAATCTTTTCAACGAACCTAACCTCCGCGTTCACCCAGATTGTATACCAAATTGCTCGCAAGTTACTTGTGGATTACCGTAGTCAACGTTCTCTCTCTCTCTCCGTCTTTTGCCAGTTATTCTGCTTTGCGATACTTCAACCGTACCGTTCCATTCTACTTTCTGCTTCCCTTACGTTAGCGTTTTACCCCCCTCTTCGTTTAACCCGACACGCGTTGTATTCTTAGATAGCCGATCAACGGTTAACACTGCGTACAGAATTGATCCGTAATAAGCAACTCGCTATCCTCTCTTTCTGTTTCATTTGAAATCGCCCGCCGAGTGAGAGTTCCGAGACCGAGTGAGGGGTAAAATATCGCGACGATCCGTAATAAGCAACTACCGTCTGGCTCGTAATAAGCAACTCTCTATCCTCTCTTTTTCTTTTTTTTTATTTGAAATTGCTAGCCGAATGAGAGATCCGAGAACGAGTGAGAAGTGAAATGTAACATTGATCTCGGCCGAGTTGCTTATTGCAGATCAAAGTTGTGTATAAACAATCATACCTGCGGTCGTGGAACACCCGACGCTTTACACCACAACGTGACGTTCCCTTTGCCGACCTCCACCTTCACGTCAGGCCCGATAGTGAATATTTCCGGCCTGCACGCGAATTCGTCGCTGTGAACCTCGTCCCACATCTTCCCAACGAGGCTCAACGGCTGCTGACACGTGGTAGGATGCGTGTACAACTTCCTCTCGATCGTCCAATCGCGGAATCTCTTCAGATGGCAATTGCAATTCCACGGATTGTTTCTCAGCTCCAAGCTGCCGAGCATCGGCAACGACTCGAAACTTTGTACACCCAACGTGCTCAGATTGTTCCCGTCTAACGTCAACACCTTCAAACCTGGCAAATTTACAAAAGTCTTGTTCTGTATCTTCTCCAATCTGTTGTTAGCTAGTTTCACCGTTTGCAGAAAGACCAGATCGCGGAACAGTCCATTCTCCAGCACTTTCAGCTTGTTGTCGTTCAACACCAACATCCTCAACCTCTGTGTCTCCGCGAACGTTCCCGGATACAACGTTCTGATGTTGTTCGACGATAGATCGATCTCGATCACGATCTTCAGACCGTTGAACGCTTCCGTGTGGATCGACTCGATCTCACATTTGCGCAGCACCAGCCTCTGTAGGTTCACCAAGGACACAGCGCTGAAGGAGTCGTGTGTCAGGTGTTTGATACGATTCCCCTGGAGATCGAAGTTCTGGATCTCTTGCGACAGGCTGCTAGGTATCTCCGTGAGGTTCTGATTGATGCATTCCGCGGTCTTCTTGCCGGAGATCCATCTGCACTTGCACGAGGACGAGCACTGCGCTGTCCAGTCCTCTTGGCTCCAGCACACGACGACCACCAGCGCCGAGTAAAGCAACAGATTCGCTGTTCTTAGCTCCATCCCGAGGATTTCTGTTAACATGAGAAACACGACGGCTGAGATTAGAACAAGTTAGAGTTGGCTGGTATCTGGGAAGGTTACATGGAACCTGACTGGAAGAACAGAAGCTTGTCCCGTAAGTTCGTGCCGAAAGGGAGAAATATTTGAACGAAGATCGAAGGGAAATTCTATAGCGACGGTATAACGATCTTAGTAAAAAATAATAGAAAAAAATTGTGGATTGAGAAGGAGCTTAGGCTTCCTTCAAATTTAAAGGTTTGTTGGAAATATTGATCTCTAAATTTTTATGGAATTAAAAATAAAAATACGTGAAATTTCACGGTGCACCGGACTCAGTCTCGGCTTCTTTATCTCTTCCATAAAATAACGATTGTCTCGTCTCACTTCACTCGTCATTGGTAGACAAGGGTCCAAATTCTCAATCGTACCGGATACAGCATTCAGAATATCCCGCTAAACGAAAAAATTTGTCACTTCGAAGTTGGACACAAGGAAATAATCGACAGATTTCTTATCACTGCGGTAGTTTTTTTTTAGGAGAAGACGTATTTGCTTTTATCGAACAATTTAATTTCTACATTTTCCACGTAATACAAAATAAACTCCATTTTTCTGAACACTCCACTCGGGCAATTTTCCTGCAATCGTCAAGAAAAATGTACAACAGAAGAGAAAGGGTTAACATTGAGAAATGTCATTTGGAATAACGAATTTTTAATTAATTTTTAATTTCTATATTTTCACATTTTGCATAATTCCATTTTTCCGAAAATCCGACCCAGGCAATTTTCCTGTAATGTCAACAAAAAATGTACGACAGAAGAGAAAGGGTTAAAACTGTCATCTGGTGTAACGAATTTTTATCCAGCGAACGTTCCGGGCAACTCCGTATTTAATCATTCGCGGGCGTCGAGCAACGGCGAAATATTAAGCCCAACCAACCGCGACCGGGTACGCGCCGTTGTCAATTAGTATTTCTTGCATAGGCGGCGCTCGTTATCGAGCGAAATTCCCGGTAATCCAGTTGGCGGATCAGCAGGCTGGGCATTACCAGCGGGACTTTAATTAAAAACATTTTTAACTGGCAAGGTTTACGCAAAACCTTCTCCACTTCCGGGCCACGGGGGTGGATAGTTGCAAGGCCGAGCAATACGATCAACAAGAGGAAACTCAACTTTCCCTGTTATCAGTGAACTCTGCCGAGCACTCTCTGCAATATTTCCCAGTCGTCTGCATCATCCTTCACTTCTTCTTCCCTCTACCTTCCACATTTTCTTCTCTTACTCCACTCCACCCGGCTCGTTCTCTTTTCCATTCCTTGCTCCGTTCGGTTAATCTCGAAGGAGGGCGAACAGAGGCGAAGGTGAAGACAATCTTAGGCGAAATCGTTGGTAATTTAGCTCGATATCGTTTCTCTCGAACACCGGTCGACACGGCGTAGTTGGAGTTAAATTAATACAACGCGACACCGAGAGTGTACCGCTTGGTCGGGTTTCATCGCTGGGAAGTTCGAGGTTGTGCATCAAAATGACCCTTTTTTCGGTCGGGATAAGGGGAGAGACGGAGGTCGGTACAATTCATTTTCTGCCTCCCTGCGGGAACACGAGCTAGAAGACGTCGTGGATGGAACGTCGACGACCGGTGAATACACTTCTTACCATTTGAATTTATTCCAAAACTCCGGCTGAGAATGGAAGACTACATAGACCGTGTCGTGTTTCGTCCTGAGTGAATCGTGAAATCCTGGAGAGGTAGAAAAATGTGTAACGTTCAAGGCTTGGGTGGAATATCGATTCTTCCGTTGCCTTCGGTGTAACAATTATACGGGGACCGATATAAGCGGCAGCGTTACGTCGATTACACAAATTCAATTATCGTTCGGCGAGATTTCGCGGTCGTGACACGGCCTGTAAACGGTCGACAAACTGCGTTTGTCAAGTAGCTGCCACGAGACTGCCGGTTCCCCGTTTAAACTGATTAAATATTTATAACGAGATCATGGGATTCGCCGACGTACCGTGTCAATCGGTTGACTTTTGTTCTGATTGGTGTGGAAAGTGGTCTAACCCTTCGGATGGTTGTGGAAACATTGATTCACCCTTTGATTGTGGAAGGTGGACTACTACTTTCACTACTATAAACTTGGTGTTGTATAAGTAAAACTGCCATGTAACGTGCTCTTTAAATTTGTCCTAATGTTCACTAGGTACAAGATGATAAAAAAAAATTATACGATTCCATTTAAAAAACTTAAGGTGATCTTGCAATCACAAGTAAGCACCTTGCATGTGTGAATGACATTTGCATTTGTGACATTTGATGTTTTTTATTAGAGTGCACCGCAGTCAAAGGGTTAAAGATGCTATATTTCCCCTCAAATTTTAGAGTTTGTATTTTTCTTTAAATTCAATACGCGTATAATTTAGGAAGCTTTTAATCAGCAGTGTATTACTGATAAAGGGTTAACGACAAAAGGGTTGAAATTGGACATTCGCAAAGCTGATGAATTTTTTATTAAAACGTGTCACAGTCAAAGGGTTAAATCTCTCGTCAAATTAGTAGAGTTTATATTTTTTTAAAAATTCAATACGCATATAATTTAGGAAACTTAACCAGCACTGTGTATAGCCGATAAAGGGTTACCTGTGAACGGTGACAAAAGGTTCAAACCAGAGGAATACCTTTGCTTAAATATCGACTGATATAATTGCTTTTATACAACCGATACACGATACAAAACCACCATTCTTTTTTCACTGTCGTTACGTTTCGTATCAGATAAGGATCGCTCGCGTCCCAGCGCTAATTCCCATCGATAACGCGATTTTTTTTCAATTTCGAATCGATTATCGAGTAACACCGTTCGCTGTCAATTAAGGCGGTGCTTTACGACGTTTTTATATTCACTGTCGATCGACAGCTTACCGTGGACGCAATAAATAACGCGATTCGAAGATAGCGCGAATCCTCGTTGTTCAACTATCCAGCGACTCTCGAAATAATCCTGCAACGCACCAGAGAAAATTCTGTCGCTGCTGTGAAATATAATTCCAAGGAACTATTTCTCTACTGAAAATATTCCAAAAGCAACGTCTTTTATCGACAAATTTGGAAAAAAACGTGCAGTAGAATTTTAATTACAAAAGTGTACGCCTGTTAGTTCTACGAAAGCAGGAAAATTAAAGAACGAGATTAATTTTCGCGACTGAGGGGATTACGTAGCGGACAAAAGATCAAAGTGTACCTCGAGCAAAGTTAAAAAGAAGCTTTCTTTGCATTTTAATCGAGCATTTTGTACCTTGGAATTAGCATTGTAATAAATTCAACTGCGAGAAGATAGATCTATCCACAGAGAAACCCTTGAAAAATTCGCAAAATATCCAACATCAATTTCTCTGAAACAAGCTACCTGTGCTATAGAATTCCAATGAATACCAAATTCCAAATCATTCCAAGACATACGTCATTTCGCCCGTCCGCAGCAACTAATTTACGATCCGCCGTAAAAATCCTATGCTCCCTGCTATAAAATCCATTTGCCCTGAGAGAAACCCCAATGTTTCCCTATACGAGACGATCCCGGAACAGTTCCTTGCGCCGATGAAATCCTTAACAAGCCACCGTGAGCCGAAAAATTATTCGAAAAACCAGCCTAGACGTAAAAAGGACACGCTTTATATCTTCTACGCTCGACTTCGTCAAATTGATCAACCCTCGAAGAGGCTGGAAAAGGGGCTTCGTGGAATTTATTTCAGCGGAGAGTCGAGATGCTTCGAGATCCTATGGATCGCGAGAATTTTCCTCGCATACACGGTTGTTGCGATCTTCCTCTGTTCGAGAACTTTTCGAAGTCTCCACCTGGAACAGGGAAACTCGTAGTCCTTCGCGTACCTCGCTTCGTCCTCTCTCTCTCTCTTCACTTGCTCTGGATGGACTTTATCGTGGGAAGAGCAGAGGCAGGATTCTTTTGTGCCCGGGTTTTGCGGCGAACCGCTTCAAGACAAAATAAATACGGTCCCGAGGTTCATTGCGCGCGTCCCATTTTTCTCGTTACATCGTTCCTTCCCGTTTCTTCTTCTTCCGTTTACCTCCTTCCTACTTTCTCTCCATTCTTTACCCGCAGTAACCATCGACGACCGAAACTCCTCTGGATTCCCAACCACCGTCCTGCTTTTTCCTTACCTTTTTCAGCCTCCGAGGCTCGGTGCTGCCGGTTTCGCCCGATCATTCTAACGCGCATCGATCGCTCGCATTTGACTTGTAAATATCCGGCCAACGAGGACATTAGATATGCATAAGGCGAAAGTAAAGAGTTTATGTACCTCCTCGGTGGAGATGGGTTTGTGTGTGTTTGGGGTGGCTTGGTGATCGCGGTGGAAAAGGAGTAGAGTGATTCTTTGAGGAAAATATATGTGGGAATTGTGAGAGTGAAGCTTCGTATTTTGGGAAGAACCACTTCGAACCTTGTGTATACTCTGTCCAATTTAAGAATAACCTCGCTCTCGGACCGATTTCCGTCCGTTCTGCGCAGTTCCCGCAGTTAGACAGAGAGCGTTGTAGAGCGTTTCTAGACCTGCCTTAGGCACGTCCCATGCGCGAGGCGGGGTTATTCTTAAATTGGACAGAGTGTAGGCTATGTAACCGAGTTTTGTTCGATGAAATGGAAGATAAAGCGAGAGATTCTGGTTGTAAGTTAGTTGCAAACTGAGTCATTTTAAGTTACAGGGTCAAGAATTTAATACAAAATGTCCTGTAGCATGTTTGGAATGATTATTGCTATGTCAACTTTTATTTTCTATGTTTTATCAAATAGGACAGTTCTTTTTTTTGAATAAGTGACGTATACAGGGTGGCTCGGGTAAATGGGATCACTTAAATATCTGCTTTATTTGTTGAATTCGATGAAATGAAATTGTTTTTCACTCTCTACAAGGATATTGAAAAAAAAAAAAAATAGGGATGACCTTGAAATTTCGTAAAAATTTTGCCCCTGAAATAGTGTA